GGGCCGCGCCGGTCGGGGGCGGGGCCGGCAGGGGGACCCCACCCCTGGGTGTGGCGCCCGCCCCTCGCTCAGCCAGTGAGCGGCCGGTCTGTATGTGGGATCCGAACCCTCGGCGGGAGCGTCGCTGCGCTCCCAAGCGGCGCACTGTAGCAGTGCGCCACCGGGCGGGCCCAAGAATGCTGTTTCTATATCAATTAGTCCGGTTTAGTTCGGGATGGGGTGGTACGACTAAGGGATAGGGCTACATGCCTCCTGGACAGAACAAGTACATCTCCCTTTGCTTCTTTGTTCACACAATGGATTGTTCCATTTCTTTTGGCTTTTGGCCCATGTTTACTTAAGCTTCTTTCCAGTTTTATTCAGGACCGGCTACAGGCATTCACCAAGCACACGGTGCATGAGATGCTTCTACAATGGACTATCAGCATCTCAAAAGCCTACCGGAACCCCACTCACCTCCTCCTACCCCCCACCCCGTGATCACGACGCCCTTGTTCAGCAGGAAGTAGTTACAAGGGAAGAAAAATCACCGCCCCCTTCCCTAAAAATAAATAAAATAAAAATAAAAAAGGGAGGAATGTTAGGTCCCTGGAACTGAAAACCTGATTTTTAGAGAGCCCCACCCTTCGGGTTCATTTCTCTAAATTTCGTTCCTCTAAGTTTCTATCTCCCTAAGTCTCTGTTTCCACCAGCAGGTTCAGCAAGCTGTACCGAGAGTGTAACATTGTAACTGCTTCCCCCAGCTAGCCCAAGGTTTCTGTCTCCCCGTCTCTGTTCCCATGAACAGGCTGTATCCGGAGTGGAACACTGTGACCAAGTCTTCCTAGGCTAGGCCAGATGCCAATCTTAACCCTACAAAAGAAGACACGCAACTGCCTCTCGGCGCTGATGCAATTTTTCGGCTCAGCCCTGCAGGTCCGCTTGCTGCTTGCTAATAAAATCTTTTCTTTCTTTACGTGGCTAGCATCTCCTTCCTCGGCGACCTTACACTGAGACAAAAGCCTCCCTCAGTCAGAAACCTGGCCGCATCACAAACTTTGCTCATTCACAGGCGCCATTTTCTGCTTCAGGGGCTCTACCTCTCCTCCACAGTCGTTCTCCGGCCTCACACCTCGCATCTTAGACCCACGTCAGAAGCCTAGCCTCGTTCCTAGGCCTCCGCTGCCTCCCCCAGCCCTCGGCCTGTCGACTCCCATTACGCTCTCCTGTGACGTCACACGGTCTCCTCATTTGCAGGCCGCTCCCTGTCCCGAGGCTGGCGACGCAACGCAGACCACGCCCCCCGCCTCAGGTTGCAGAGCCCGCCTCCTTCCCAGTTTTCCAGTTCCACTACGCCGGCCAGGCCCCCACCCCACCCCCGGGGCTGTTTCCTCTCCGGCCCGCCCCCTGGCCTCATCACAAGAAACCTTATTTTGTTCTGAGGCGTCAGACAGCACCACACAGGCCCCTTCTCTTTCCCAGACGTTTGGATTCATACAGAGGTGCTTCCCCACCCCTCTTACCCGCTGTCCCACCGGCCACTGCCCCGCCCCCGCAGCAGTTCTCCCGCGGACCTCGGCCGCCAGCGCCCCCACTGTCCCCTCAGCCGAGGCTCCACTGCAGCGCCCAGTCTCACCAGCTTTCGCCGGCCCGCAGTGGACGGCCTCGTCCACTCTCGCCGTTCTCGATCTGCCGTCGCTGGCTGTCCAGGCTCGGCAACGCCTCGCGTTGTGGCTCTCTGTCTTCAGCTGCCGCCGCCGCGGCGGTGGCGGCTGGATTCTCTTCTACCGCCGCCATCGCCGTCCGTCGTCGTCTCACAGCCAGCGCAACTGAAGATAGAATGACGCCCCTCAACTGTCACTTCCGGATTCTGGTCCCGGAAACGGAAGCTGAGCCCCCCAAACAGTCGCGGGGCTACTGCTATCTCCGGAATGGGCCTCAAGCTCGGAGGCTAGGAGGGCTACGGGCCGTGGGTGGTGATCTCTGCGACCAGTGGGCGGGGGAAATCCCCCCAGTTGGGAACTAAGAAAAACAAGAGTGAATCTAAGTGTTGAGTTAGGGCAAAAGGTTGCGTGGAAGGCGGAGACCGAGGTTCCTAAGGTGAGATAGGACATGTTGGGGAGGGCTGAGGGACACATAAAGGCTGAGACTTCCTAGCCCCTGTTCTGCTGAGGACCGCTGACCCCGACCCTGCAACGGCCTTTTTGTTAACCTGACCAGAATGCCCTTCCTTCGTTGCACTACCCTTCTTATCCATCAAAACCCAAGGTAAAAGAGGTTTCCACCTCCAGAGAGCCATCTAGGCCTGCGGGACCATTGTTTCCCTTCCTTACCTAGATTTATGCGCTGACAAACGTGAAGGCAAGTCAGCCGCCGGCCCTGTGTGTTTGTTTGGAGTCAGCAATGATAACCAACAGTCTGCCCAATTTAAGCGCTTTATTGCACTTAAATAGTAGCTTCAGGCATAGGTACTATCTTTGTCGCCAATGGGCAACAATGGGAAAAGCTGAGGACCAGAAACGTTAATTCCAGCTAATAAGTGGTGGAGCTGTGGTTGCAGTGGTTTGAACTCAGGAAACCTGGTTCCAGAGTTGTGACCTTAAACACCAGGTCAGAGATTCTCAAACTGTGGTCCCAGGCTGTCTACCGGTCCAGCAAACCTTCTCAGGGGATTCACAAGTCAAAGCTTTTTTCACAAGTTTTTCACTGATTCTCTCGTGCGTATGGTGGAAGTATCCAGAGGCCACCTGACATAATAAGCAAAAGCTCTTTGGGTGTCCTCAGTTTTTAAGACTGTAAAGGGATCCTGAGACCAAAAGTTTGAGAACTATTGCACTAGGCCAGGGTTACTCAACCTCAGTGCTATTAGCATTTCATTATGGGGAGCACTGCAGGATATCTAGCTGCATCCCTGGCCTCTACCCACTAGATACCAGTAGCACCCTGCAGGACAACCAAAAGTGTCTTCCTCCAGACACTGCCAGATGTCCCCTTGGGGGGATATTGGCTTTGGTGGAGAACTACTGCACTATCCTTTTCTCTGCTAGGGCTCCCCGCCTTACCTGTGATGACTTTGATATTTCCCTCTCTGGCTCCCTGCCATCAACCTGCCTATTGGCTGTCCCCACCTGGCCATCCCACATTCTCTCCAAGACAGGCTTATGATTCCAGGGCTGCTTCAGTGACTTCTTTCACTATCACCTCACCACCCAGTCCACACAGGGACCCCTAGGCCCATCCACACACAGGTCTCTCTCTGTCCAATTTCAACCCTCCCCCTACTTTCCTATCATTACTCTCCACTCCCACACAATCTTATAATTTACCCCTTATTTTCAGTTAACCTCTGAGGGGCAGGGATTCTGTGTTTATTACTGTGATTCCAGACCCCAGTCCAGACCTGGCACAGATGAGGGGTCACGACTCAGTTGTGTAAACCTTGAGGGAGAAGAGAGAGCAGCCCTTTTATGTGGGGAGTCCCCAAAGAAAGTGGCATTTGACTTGGGTTTGGCGCGTAGCAGACATCTGCTCTTCAAGCCCAGCTTAATCTTGTCAAATTCCTTGAATTTACTCTCCTCATTGCCCCTCTGCAGACTCTCCCACCCCCGTTTACTTGGGCAGCTGGGTAAATCCCACAAGAGGCTTCCCTCCCCAGCCCTAGGTTCAGTTTCTTCACCTTCCAGATGCCAACCTCTGCCCACACCAGTGACCCTACCACTTCCCAGAGCAGTTAGGTGAATTCTAGTCCTTCTATGTGCAGCCTGGCAATCTTGTCCCCCTTTGCAATGTCCTCATTTTCCCAGCCTCCTTTGCTGCCACAGTTGACCATGTCATCTGATTTCTAGCCAAGGGATGGCACCGGATGTCTGCTGAGGAGCTTGTGGAGGTTCCAACCCTGTTACAGGAAAACAGACAGATAGGAGGGTGTCCTGTTTTCTTTGCTTTCCCATCTCTGGGGGCACGGCAGACATAGTGACACCATGAGGCTACAAGCTAATACATCTCCAAAGTGCTTATAGGGACACAGAGTGATTAGAGGTCCAAGGGCCACCACTGCTGGGCTTCAGTCAACAGCCACTTAGGCTTGTGATTACTTGCAGCATTGGCTTGACCCTGCCCACCCCACCTCTTCTGCCTGCAAATCTATCCTTGGCTTTGCCCAGGATGGTGGGATAGGGCCTAGAACACACAGAACAATGGAAATGAAAGCCTCAGTTATCCTCACACCTAAGGGTAAGTCCCAGGCTGTGCCATTTGACCTCCAGCCTCTCACAAACTATTGCATCCTTCCCAGGGTCATCTCACCCAGGCCCATGGTTTGTTACTTCCTGGATAGCACTAATCCAAACTTCCAGCTTCATTTATGGCACCATTCCTTTATTTGATCCATATATTAATGGATTCCTCTACCTACTCAGTGGCCCCCAATTTACCCTCCTCTCACATTCCCTCTCCAATTGGCCTTCTTCATGGTGTCCTGGTCAGATATGTCATGATCATACTGGGCCTCTCTGCCTCATCTCCCCACCCTAGTTCTACTGGGTCTTCCAGTGTCAAACAACCTCTCTACATCCCTACCTCCACCCTCTATGAGTCTTTCCTTATATTCTTGGGTAAATCTACCTCCTCTTGTTGGAGCAGGACTGAAGCCATGTTGGGACCTAAGCTGCCTGGACTGCAGAGGGGGGGAGGATTTTAAAAAGGACAGTTTTTTTCTCTCCACTCTTTCTTCCCATCCCCTGACTTTCCTATCTCACTCGCTAAGTAGGAAAGCAAGGCCAAGAAACTAATTAGTACTTTGCAAAGCTAACAGTTCTTTCTTTGAGACTTGTAGAAATGATCAAGGCCAAATGACTGAAGCTGACCTTGGGCACTAGCTAAGAACACTGGTGCAAATCAAAATCTTGCAGGGTCCTGAGAGAACAGTGAAGATGAAAACAGAAACCAGATGAGGCCTTGGCAAGACCTTGTACCTGACCCATAGAAACGGACCCCTCGTAACTCACATCTCCTGCTCTCCTGCTTTTCAACCCCCACATTCTTCCCTCAACCCTTCCTTTAAAAACTCCTCAGTAGGGGCCGGCCCGGTGGCGCACTGGAGAGTGCGCTGCTTGGGAGCACGGCAGCGCTCCCGCCTAGGGTTCGGATCCCACGTGGAGACCGGTTCCCGCTCACTGGCTGAGCACGGTGCGGATGCAACACCGAGGGTTGCGATCCCGTTGCCGGTCCCCGGTACGGGCGCAACACCAAGGGTTGCAATCCCGTTACCGGTCAGTAAAAAAGACAAAAAGGAAAACAAACAAACAAAAAAAACTCCTCAGTAAATGTAAATCTTTGAGATGGGATAGCCTATTATCTCCTTCGGCTGAATACACCTGCTTTTCTAACACCAACCATTTGACTTCTGAGTTTTTTTTTTTTTCTTTCCTTCTCAAGGAGGCAGGCAGCCAGACCTGAGTCTGGTAACACTCTGCTTGATTCTCAGCCCATCAACACTACTCAGCTTGCCCTACCTTCAACTCGATGTTCTACCATTATGCAATCACTCAGATACCTTTTTCATAGTTGTGATGTGTCTCTGTCCCACTCCCAGTACTCTCCTAGTCAATGGGGACCAGAAATATTCTCCAAGGTCCCAGAATCACACCGGCTTGAGGCCCCACCCTCACCCCTATAGGGATTTGCAATCAGGCTTTTCACTTTAGACTTTTTAATATTTCATACAGTGATTATGGTGCATTCAGGAACCCAACCCCCCAAACCCCACTAGGAGGGCACCCATCCCTGCCCTCCCACCCCATTTGAGGGCCCCAGGGCTTAGGATGGAGGAAGGGGAGGTACCAACCATCCAGGACTGACCCCAGAGACTGTCCCTGCCCTGCCTCACCCTCCCCAGGGGTTGGGGAACAACACCTGGGACAACCACCAACATGCCCCTCTATCCCTGCTTGTGTACATATACACACTATGGCTCCTCAATGAGTTGGTCAGTTCCTGGCAGGGCCCCTACTCAACAGCACCGAGTGGGATGGGGTCAGGAGGGCTGGGCTGAGGAGACCCTGAGAAGGAAGGAGGCCCCAGCTACGGGACTGCAAGAGGGAAAGAGTGGGGCCCCCCACCTTGTCCATCTCCCAGAGTCTCTGGTAGTTCCCAGATCCCCGTGGCTGGGGATGGCAGGTGGGGGTAGGAAGGCGAGTGGCAGAGGCATGCTTTCCCATAGCCGATCACAGGGTCTGGTGATGGTCAGGGTTCCTAATAGGGGCTGTGTCCCTGCCTCTGAAAGGCTGGGAGCGGGGCTTCATTGCACAAAATACTGTGGGAGGGCCACACGCAGGGGGTGGGGCCCAGCCAGTCTGTGTACAGAGATATTGCATTTAAAAACTGAAAACCTCATTTAAAAAACAAAAAACAAAAAAACAATGAATGACACAAACAAAAAAAAGGCCCACACAACATGAGGCAGGTGGGGCAGGCAGGAAAGCACGCAGGAATGCCTCAGACCCAAGGCATTGCCACCATCTTGTCTGAGTCAAGATCCCCAGCCTGGGCTAGCTCCGGACCCCTGGCTGGCCGTGGGATAGTGGTCCTAGGGGAGGGAATGACGAGGAGGGGTAGGCCTGGCCTCAGTGTGGGAGGCTGGCATGGCCATGCTGTCCGCCGGCAACTACCGAGACAGAGAGAGACAGACAGACCAGGTGAAGGAGTGATGAGAGCTTTGTTAGCACCCAGCAGACAGGCCAGTGGTCGGGTTGACAGGTCAATGGTTGGGTGTTTGGGTAGGCAGCAGGGGACAAGTGGGCAGGCGAGCA